CCCCCCCAGACCCCCCCCCCTAAGTTACAACTCCCCTCATAGACCAAGAGGCACCCACTGCGTTGGCGCGTTTTGTCTGCCATCTGTGGGGATTTTCTTTCTGCTTGTCCCGCCATGCACCGTCGCTCATGCCCTTGCGGATGCGCTGTGTCTGAGCCCGCTTGGCACTGCGAGCGCTCGGGTTGGGCGCCTCGCCGCATTCATTGTTGTCGAGCTGATTGGGTGACAGCTTGCGCTTATGCTGATCACAACCGCCATGGAAGGCAGGGGTAATGGCGCCCGTGTCATCGGTCGCCGCTGGCAGCAACACCATTGCCGATGCATTACCGACAACAGCACCGCCGTCCCAAACGCCTTTATCAGGGAAAATTTCAGGCTTATCTTGCTGTTTTGGTGTTTGTTCGGCGTTCAAGTCGTTGCCTTTTGCGTGTTTGGCTATGTAAGGACCGGTCATACATGCTGCTATGCCGCGTTGACTCACGGGCTTGACCTTCTTACGGCCCCTCATATCTATTCTATGATCGATAATACTAAGTTCTGCACACTTCGGAGCAATCTGGCAGCAATGGACGTTTTTGGCTGGAGGAATGAAAATGTACGGATCGGCCTCAATTTGTTCCTTATTTCCAAAGGCCAAAATGGCCTCTTTATTCCTTAAAAGGAATATATTACTTAAAAAAAACACTGGGGTGGGGAATGGTGTTTAGGTATCCATCCCCCCTTCCCTCTCTTTTTTCCCCTCTCTTCCCCCCCCTTCCCTCGCTGAGGGACACAGCACGCACCCGCGGTCAGCAAATTGTTATTAGAGTTCGTTTTACGTTATCTTTAGGATTTGTTTTGTATGCTTTATCCTTAGGATTTGATTTTGATACTTCTTTTCCCGTTCACTAATGTCCTCTCGTTCTATTTCGCAATGTGTGAAACTCCGAATTGGTTTTCAGGTCCACGCAGAGAATGGCGACATGATTGCGTGGTTGCAGGTACGGTGTGGTTGGCAGTTGTGGACAGGTAAACGGCAGTTGGGCAGTTAAAAGCTTGGCGCGCAAATCAATTCCTATTGCTCACATCCTTTACTTTCATGCCCTCCACCGTGTTGCACTTCGTCACAGTCATGGTCTCTCCTTCTGCCTTCCTTTTTCTCTTTCTGCCTTTCCCTGGGCCAAAACTGTAACTAGCTGTAGCTAACCGTAACCAAACGGCTCAAACTGTCTCGATTAACCAACTGTTTCCAACGGACGCGAAATGTAACTGGATATATCTCCGCGTCGTCGTCTCGCTCTCCCCGATACGTACGACAATGTTAACGCTGTCGTACGCTCCCTATGCTCCATACAGAAGTCTGGGCTGTAGCAGCTGTTAGCTGGTAGTTCTTTCCTTCCAGAACACTTCCCTTCAAAGTTAAATCCATTCACTTCCGCATTTCTCTCATTTCGCTGGGCCTGTGTCTTCATTCCTTCCCACCCATTCCTTCCCACCCATTCCTTCCCACCCATTCCTTCCCACCCATTCCTCCCCACCCATTCCTCCCCACCCATTCCTTCCCACCCATTCCTCCCCACCCATTCCTTCCCGCGCCTGGTGGCCCTCTACGCGGTCGCCCTCTTAACAGTCCCGCTTGCTGTCCGAGGGTATCCGGGGCCCGGAGGGGCATGCGATGTCTCGACCCGCCGCTCTGGAGGGGGAGGCAACCGGGAGAGCTGTACGGCTGGCAGGCGTGGTGGGCGTGCCGCTGTATGTCGTACACGTCATGAGCATCGATGCCATGGAGGAGGTACGTGCGTACGGCAATGTCAACGTTAAAAAATATGTATGTAGTAGAATTGGATTTAAAAAGTGTGTGCGGACTGTCGGAAGGCACGTCATGTACGACGGTAGCGCTAAGATCGCAGGAGTGCCTCGATTACAGCCAAGAGCTATTATTCATGTGTGTGTATATATATGTATATAGTTTTTACAATTTTTTTACAGGCAATGTCAGGTCTATACAGGGTTTTATTTACCTTTTCACGATGCCACCAGTGAAGGTCACATCGGGGGTTCTCACAATCTTAGGGTTTTCGACTTGGACAGGCCCTTTGTACGACAACTCTCATTTTTTCCCACCGCACTCACTCTCACTCTCACCCTAACTCTCCTCCAAAACCCCCAAAAAAACCCTCAAAAAATATTTCCCGTGGTGCCCTGTGAAGATCGCCCGAGCCCGACGAGCCGGACAGCGTGTTGTCGGGGAGCCGGTGTCCTCGGGTTTGGCTCTTGACGAGAGCCCCATGTGGGACACCAACTTCACTCGGGCGGCGGCCTTCGTGATGAGTCCGCCCATTCGGAGCGCCGAGCACGGGCCCGCGCTGAAAAAGGTTAGGAAGGTTAGGAGGAGTGGGTTTTCCTGCCGGTTCTATAGGGTCGAGGTCTTACAGGGTTTTAGCGGCTTTTGGACCCCGACCCCCTGTGGAAGGATCCCGGGAGGGGCCCTTCGTAACTGTTTTTGATGGTAAGAAGCTCTGAATGTGCGGAGGAGGTGGGTATGACGTGCAGTTCACTTTAATTTGGGAGGCGACGCACGTCGCGCTGAGGCGGTCCACCCTGAAGCGGACGAGGGAGAATGATGATGACCTCCCGCGTCAATACCCGCATCAATACCGATACAACGTCCATGGCCCCCCCGGCTTTTACGGACACACCCGCACTTGTGTGCGGAACTTGTAACTTGCACCTTTAGGCCAGGTTGGCGACCGGGTTGGCGATAGGCTCTTCAGGTCAAGAAGTTTCGTTTTTGCGTGGTAACGAAGATGGTGATTGTGGTGGTGGTGGTGGTGGTGGTGGTGGTGGTGGTGGGGAGTTGGTGTCTGGTGTTGAAACTAACACGCAGACACAGACGCACATACACACATTCATAACTTTTCCGCAGCACTCTGTCCATTCTGCCCATTCCGTCTCCACATTTTCCTGCACCTCAGCTGACAGCTGACTTCGTGTCCGGACTGCTGCCGTACAGGCTCTGGCCAGTGGTGTACTGCAGGTGAGCTGATGTCGTGATAGACGTCGTAATGTCCTTTGCACATTCGTTTGTGAGATCAGGTTTTTTTGGTTCGTTGGCTACGTACGGGAAACTGAAATGAGAATCCAATCGGAATCCAATTTGTGGTTGATTCGCAAGGGGTGTGTAGCATTGACTGAATACGCGACAACCTACCTTTCCCGACTTCGAATCAACGACGTTATTCAATATCAGTTTATTTGATGCCGTACATAATTGCCGTGCAGTTGGTTGCCACGGACCACGCGGTTTTCAACAGCACCCAAAAGGCCGCCGGCCGCAACGACTTTACCAGAATTCCCAATGGTGTCAACGGCATCGAGGAGCGCATGCACGTGACGTGGCAAGAGATGGTTGTTTCAGGTAAGAGACCGTTGGGGTCGTTGACCGTTCGTCAATCCTGTTCGTATCCTCATTGTTGCGTGTGCTACGCACTCCACGGTGTACGGCATGACAAACCCTAAGTTGAGCTACCGGCCGGCTGTAGTGACCATCGGCCTATGGCGCCTCTCTTCGGGCTCTGACGAACACATTCCCCGCATTCATTTGGAACTATTGTAACTTGTAACTTGTATAAAAAACTGGTATTTCGAACTTGAACGTGCACCAGTGAAGGGTATAGCCGCCGGCGGGTGAGAAACCGACGCGTTTTATATATTTATCCAACCAAATCCTCGTCAGATCGCAATCCTTCATATTCCTTTATGAATCAGACCGAAACAAGTCGTTACATGATTGTCCGGCCTCCGGAACCAGGCTTGTCCACCCCCTCGGACTTCGTACGCATGACGAGCACCGCCGCCGCCCAGATCTATAACCTGTACCCACGTAAGGGCCGCGTGGCGGCGGGCAGCGATGCTGACGTCATCCTCCTGGACCCACGGATCACTCACACACTGGGCGTCGGTTCCCACCACAGCCGCATGGATACCAATGTGTACGAGGGCAAACAAATTCAGGTGTGTACGGCATTTCACAGGACGCCTATTAATGAGGTTGCATTTCATGGGATGCTTCTGAATAATGAGGTCGCATACGGCGCGGTACCATATGCATGTACGGCACGGTACGTCATATGGTACGTCCGTCACAGTGTAAGAAAGCCCATATATTTTTCATCTTGAGTGACATGCGCCGAAATCATCTTTTACTGTTTTGTCGTCGCCATGCGTGCCTGTCTCTGTCTGTCTGTCTGTCTGTCTGTCTGCGTGGCACGCGGCGCACTGTGGCACGTGGTCAGTTAGTCAACCAAGTGGAGAACCCTAACCCTACAAGACCTCCCGTCATCCATTCTGCTCGCTGTTCGCCTGGTGGTGGTTGGCGGGTGCAGGGCAAAGTGGTCACCACCATCAGCCGCGGGCGCCTGGTGTGGCACAACGGACAGCTCCTTGGCGTGAGGCCTGGCACAGGCCGCTTCGTGCCCATGCCGCCTTTTGGGCCGTTGTTCGAGGTGCGTGAGGCACAGCACCTGTACAGACGTGTGTAGGTGCATGCACGCTGCTCAGCTCTCCTCCTCCCCACCTCCCTCCTCCCCTTCCTCTCCATCCGCTTTTTTTTAAGTTGTTTCCCACCATTTGCGATCTCCCTCACTCATGCTATTCCTGTTCCTAGTTTCCATGTATCCACTCTTGCACGCACGCTCTACACGCATTCCCCCTCGCACTGACCTCGATGAACGACAGATAATCTTGGGGTTTGCTTGTCATCTCTTGAAAAACTTCAAGTACTTTTTAGCAATCGAGTATTGTCTTGCAAGGGACACGCAAAATGAAAGATTGGCGGTGCCTCTTGCCTCTTACCATTTTGTCTTAACTCCAGGGAGATCTCGCAAGATAGGCCCCAGGCCGGCGCCTATGCTTGTAATAGCATACCGAGTATCATGTCATGAACACTTCAACGCCGTGCTCTCCCCTTCTCACGTTGACATTTCTCAACGAATGCAAGTCCTGAAGTTGGTCTTGTGCCTGTTCAAGCAGGGACTGGACGAGCAGAACAGGCGCGCGCGAATCTTTCGGTATGGGCCGACACCGGTGCAGCGAGAAGAGGGCGGTGAGGACGCTGCTGCTGCTGCTGCTGCTGTCGCCACGACTGCAACCCCTGCTGCTGCCACGCAGTCTTCTCACACAGAGCTGTAACAATAGTACATGTGGTGGGAGGCCGTTAAAAAAGGATTCCACAGGATTAAAGGATTCCACTGAACAGAAACAAGCGGAGAGCCTTATGGCAAATGTTGAGGAGAGGGGAGGGGCCACGTGTGGACATACATGTTAGCAATATCCGCGAATATCCGTGAAATCGCCGAAAATAAATATGATTTTAATATTTTTTTCACGGCGGATTCTGGGTCCATTCCGTACGTTCCTTGGAGTCCCAAATGCCGAGATATTGCTGGTGGTGCGCATATCGATTCCTTTGCCTTACCAAGGAAAGTTTCAAATGGTGAAAGTTGCCTCGGTTGTCAATTTCTAATTATTATTCGGGGTGCGGAGATTGGGCTGACCTGTCTTTGAGCAGATCTTGGATGGTGGAGCCGCTAGCAGACAGAGTGAGGCAGACATATAGGCCCCGGGGTGTAGCAGCCCTGGCCCCCGCTAGCTCCCCTTAGGTGAACACGGTGCACAGGGGTGCACAGGCTTTGTCACGGCACGCTCGCTCGGCACGTTCTCAGCGGGTGGGAAGAGGCAATGCAGGCCAGGTCCTCCTTGAACGGTTTGCATGAATGGCGTTGTAACACCAGGCAAAGAGTACTCAGTTGGGAGATGCCAGGGGAGCTGATCCCTCTTACATCCCTCCCCCCCTCGAGCGAACGTCCTTGGGCGCCCCCGGGCATATCCCGTAGGATTTATGTTGTTTGAGATCCCGTAGGATTGTGAATTAGAGTGTTATTGACATTTCGTCAGTCTCCGTCCGAGATGGAGGACTTTGTTTTTACTCAGCTGGTAGACTTTTCGCCCGCCCGGGCATCCACCTTTGGGGTAAGAGTATGCTGCATCATGCCTGGTATGCGATATGTTCGCAACCAAGCAATTTGCACCAATGTAACACCAGGCAAAGAGTACTCAGTTGGGAGAGCCAGGGGAGCTGATCCCTCTTACAGGCGTCGTCTGTTGTGCAATCACATCACCCGCTGTACACCTGATTCTTCCTACACGTCATTGCACACACGATAAATAGCACACACACGCGTGCCTAGCCTAGCCGCGTCGAAATCTAAGATGGTTTTACTGCTGCTGGCTGCCAACACCTTCAAAAAGCTAGTTCCATTAAAAGAGATAATAGGTTATTACCAAAAGCAGCAATGACTCTGTCATTGATTCGCAGTACTCCTCTGCGTATCACAAATGTGCCACTCATGGAATCCAGCGTCATGTACACCTGCCGGAGTTAACCTTCCCTGGAGCGTGTGAGTTGGGTGCCTCCTCCTCCTCCTCCTCCTCCTCCTCGTCCTCCTCCAACGACAACAGAAAAGCATTATTAGCCCGGGTCTCTCATCGAACACCGCATCCATGCTGATGTAGATTTTGCCTTCTTCCAGAACCCAAATGCATCCATCATGGCTAACATCCTAACCATGAGCGTAAAAGGGTTTTTACAATGACCAGCAGCTTACAGCTTCCCCCCAAAGCTCTCCTTAAGGGCGCATCCAAATCACAGTCGCCATGCCATATGCACGCGCCCAAGCAACAAAATCCTATTCAGGTGCTTTGCTGTTCCGTTCTGCTCTGCTGTGTATGGAGCTGGACTTCCCATGCACGACGACACTATCCGGAAAAATACATGGGATGACTCTGGTATGGCTCTTATTGACTTAACACACTCGGTCTCACAATGACTTAAAACACGATGAACCTCTACACCGGTCTGTCTTTCCCACCGCTGCAAAACTTCACGAACAGCATCATCAGGTACCAGTGTACTCTTCACTGCTATGCACAGCTGAAGTCATCGTAAAAGGTGGTGAAGTAGCTATAGCGGTAGCGAACCCCATCCACAGATGCATCTGGCATATGGGATCACAGACGCGTCCCAGTGGGTGAGGTCGAGTGGAAACTCACTCGCTCAGTTGGGCTGACGAATCATGATAGCTTTCCCGTGGCCATTTCTGTGACAATTGTGAGCTCTTCCCCAATTCCAGCCTGGATCCTACCCTCCTCAATACCCCCCTAACATAGTTGTACATGTTCCAAGGAAAAGTCTTAACCACTGAACTCACTTGGCGTATCGTTCTTGAAGGTCTCAAACGGAACCTCGCCAAACAGCTTGCACATATGCTCGGCCATGCAGTTGTCCCACAATTGCTGCTTGACGACATGCATGGACAGCTGCGTCTTAAAGGAAAGGGTGCTAATAACGTAGACGATATCGATCTGAAGGTCTACGACTCAGACGGAAAAGAACCTGAACCAGTGCTGAAGCGGGTCTTAGTGCACCGGTTGCTCCAGCGTTGCATCGAGTACTCGACGGATAAGAAGCGCGAGGCTCCATTCGGGGGAAAGTCTTGGGGTGCATGCGCAGCGAGTGGGAAGCTCACTATCTTCTACAGTGTCACTCAACCTGTTGCATCAAATTTGCAAGAGAGAAAGCAGAAGAAGATCAAGGAGGACAACTGCAGCAGGGATGATGAAGACACACCACGCAGGGAGGCGTGAGCGCACGGCCGTCAATGCTCACGCCTCCCTGCATGGCGTGTCTTCGTCATCCGTGCTGCAGTTGTCCTCCGTGATCTTCTTCTGCAAATATAATGCAGCAGTTTGAATTGCACTGAAGAAGATAGTGAGATTCCCACTCGCTGCATCCCAAGACTTTCCCCCGAATGGAGCCTCGCGCGTATCCGTCGAGTACTCGATGCAACGCTGGAGCAACCGGTGCAGCACTGGTTCAGGTTCTTTTCCATCAGAGTCTTAGACCTTCAGATCGATATCGTCTAAGTTATTAGCACCTGTTTATTTAAGAAGCAACTGTCCATGCATGTCGTCAAGCAGCAATTGTGGGACAACTGCATGGCCGAGCATATGTGCAAGCTGTTTGGCAAGGTTCCGTTTGAGACCTTCAAGAAGCGATACACCAAGTAAGTTCAGTGGTTAAGACTTTACCTTTTCCTTGGAACATATGCAACTATGTTAGGGGGGTACTGAGGAGGGTGAAAATCCGCAGGTGCGCACATTAGAAAAGACAAATCTCCTGCAATTCATAACACTTTGGGATTTAGTTCCGCAGTGTTAACTGGGAAGATTCACACCCAAAAACATTCCTTCGTATACGTACTGCGAATTGCGTGCTTTTCAACTGCGTCAGGCTGTGCTTATGCTTGGTATGAGTTAGGCTGTGCACTGAGCCTTCATATGCGACAATCGCAACACGGATGCGCATGTGAATTCTGTGTTTAGCATTACACACTGAGCTCTCGTAAGCACTAAATGCGAGTTGGATTCGCATGTGAAACGCCTCTGTTCTCGCGGTTCATGTGCATAGGAGCAACAACGAACCAAACCAATATAACACCTGATAGGGCATCAATCTCCAAAGAGCCCTACCTCGCGTGCCAAGATATCCCTGCGCATGCCACCCGAGCAGCACGTGCACGAGTCCTCGGCGCTCAGTCCTGCAGTGCTGCAGTGCATGCCAACAGTAAGAGAGTGTTAAAGGCTAAGTGGATCGGATGCAGCAGTCATTGCCAGAGCAGTACACAAGCAACTAACGGTTCAGCTCAGCCACAGCTCACTACTTAGGGCTTTACTCATTTCGCATACCAGGCCAAAGGTAAACGCCCGCTCATTCCTATTTATTATCGAGTTCGATAGTCGATCAACGAGTACGGAAGATGGCTCCAAATCACCACAGAAACCAACTACCGCGTACGCACCAGGCGTCAGAATGACCGGACAACGTTTTCCTTGACAGAGGAACATGCCACTGTGGTACAGGCTCACACAGTTGCACAGCCCCCCTCCACCCCGACACAACCCCGCTACACCACCCCACATTCCAGCCGAAAACGCCAATGCTCGTGTACCGGCTAGTTGGCACCGAGGCACATACAACATCGCATGCGAATTGTTAATTCATGTAATTTAATTTCATGCGATCAGTCAAAGGCAAATCGTGTATTTTTGGTGTGTGTTAGCTTAGGCCGCATTATGTAAGCTTGACATAAAGAGCCTTCATACGAATGAAACGCAGCATGCGAATTGCGTTGTGAAATGTGTGCGTTTGGTGTGTGTCAGACCGCGTTAAGCTCTACGCAATGAGACTTCATATGCATGAACGTAACATGTATTTGCATGTGAATAGCCTTGCAAACTGTGTGCGTCTGATGTGCGTTTGAACGCGTATTGCTTTACGCATTGTCTCCCCACACGCATACATTGCAATATGTATTCGCATGTGTATCGCCTTGCCATACATGCGCGTATGCTTCATGTTACTTTGCTTTTTCACCATACGCACAGATGAATTGTTCAAGTCGACCAATAAGACGCAAAGTTATTCTCAAACGAACCTTTTTAATCTGAAATTTATGAAAATTCTAAGAATTTAGCCAGAAGGGCCGATTTCCGCTTTTTCATAGCCGTTGTGCGTTAGCTCTTTGCGTTGCAAAAACATGCTCATTCGCACGCACCGTTACGCGGAGTTAACGCGATCACCCGTCGTAATAGTGATCTGTAGTAGCTGGTACACAGCACGACTCACATCACGTCTACAAATACACGCTAAGCGCTCCACCAGCATCTCGAGAGGCCTTTTCAGCAACCAGCTACTACAGCACCGCAGGGCCCCACCATCCATGTCAAATACGGGGTGATGCTAGGCCTGCTGGACAGGCTCTGGTCAGAGTTGCCCCAGGTGCAAAAGAAGATATACATAGAGAAGCATGCCGCGCTCAGGGTGGCTAAGCCCCCCATTATGTTGGGCTGATGATATAGCATGGCATTGGTGAGGACATTGTACGTGTTTCAAGAGGGTGTACCCAGCTGGCCCTTTCAGTTGCAAAACCCTGTAAGTGTTCGGACTTTTGGTGCCATTGGCAGTCATGATTTATGGGAACCCATTCAAGTGCTGTATCGTGTGAGAAAATTTATCTGACAGCCTGTGAGGTAATTTATTCCGAAGCCTGTTACATACGCACAAATCCAGCATGTGCTGTATCGGCCTGACTCAAACACGTATAGCCACAAGTTCACTATGGTCGCCATCCATCAACATCCACCAACATACCACCATCCATCCAATCATACACGGCAGGCGGCTGGCAGAGGTTAAGGCCTAACTTCTGCACCTGGCCGACCCGGGTTCAAATCCGCCTGCCGGCTCCTCGGGTGTTTGAGGAGTGTTGAAATGGAAGGTGGCCCCCCATCATATGGACGATATAGGATGTGATAACATCAACTTGCGAGCTGACCAGGAACTAAGTTGAGGCGCCGTTGATCCGCTAGATTTGGTTGGATGCTGGTGGTGAGTTGCCGAACCCAACGAATACATTCTGAAGTCGGATGGGGTGAATGATTAGGGCGCCCCTCTAGCAGGGGAGAGCAGGGACTGCCCCGGGAAAGGGAGCCGCTGGCGAAGTTAACCACCCTGTAACAACATACATACTACTACCCTTCATGCATTCACATGTTGACTGTGCTGGACCACCATACGCCCCACCATGCATCAAAAACCGGTCGTGAACAGCACCCCGATAGCTCCAAACGCTGGCATTGGTAACGTTATATACCGTGAGGGCGTTATTGGGAGCGTCGGGGGGCACCTTTCCGGCGGCCTGAAATCGGTGGGGCCCAGTTCTGGCCTGCTTGCCAGTCAGGGAGCCTGTCTTACCCAGTCGGGCAACCTCAGGGATAGCCTGTTGGAGCTAAGAGTCTTTCAGTCACTCAAATCGTGTTACACAAGAGACAAACGATACTTGAGTCATTAGAACTATTTCAACCGATCGCAGCTGATCTTGATCTGGTATCGTACCAGGATCCAAACGACCAAACAAGATGCCAGTTACAGTATCCACACAAGTGCAGAGGGGTCAGCCAAAGCCCCATAGACCGTTCATAAAAGTTAATGTTTCGTTGTCGATGGGGCGACTGTCGCCATCCTCCTGGCCCCGTTTGAGCGCGACGCACTGGAGGGCTGTTTACCTACTCTCTCCCTGACCTCGGAGAGAAAGCTATAGCTAATGCCAGCGGGCGAGCCTCGGTCGTAATGGTGCACATGCTGCACTCTTGAGTCACTCCAGAGTTCACCCCCATACTTAGCCCTCAAGCCCTTATAAACAGGGCATTCCAAAACATCTGCAATTTATCTTCCACTGCTCCGCAGTCACAAAGCCTGCAGGTACATACGGCACACTCACGGCCGTTGGGTACTATATGTAGTGTACACGCACGCCTAAAACCCTAAAACCCACAAACTACACCAAGGTGGAAAGCCTGCCCGTCTCTCAGAACGTTTTTCCAACACTCAAAAGTTACGGCGGATTAATGCACGATGAAGTACGTGTATTTGTACACGTTTGGCTACCACGACCATTCGTACACGTTTGGCTACCAATAATCTCACGCATGCTTAGTCATCTGTATCTGACTATGCCTAAGAAAGTCGACGTACTTGGTTGTGGTGCGGCTGCTGTTGGTGGCTGCTATTGATTTGCGGGTGCTGCTGCTGCTGCTGTGCAGCTACTGCCCTATCTGGTGGTTTATTTGGGGTCGTGGTCCAAGAAGGAAAGTGTTTGCCGGGCGGTGTCGATGGCTCGCTGCAGGTCAGCCAGGCGGTTGGCGGCGGCCGCACGCTGGGACCTGGTGTCCAGCAACCTGCACGAAGGGGTATGAGTGGGGTATTGTAACGACGCAAGGCCAATCTGAGCATCCCGGGTTACGCCTTTGCTGTGTTACGGGTATCTAACCCGCGCGAGACGACTGTCGTTTCTGCCAAACTGTCTGCTTGGCACAGGGATTGGCTATGTAGCCATACAATACACACTTCTGGATGCGATATTGTGTTTAAAGGTTGAATGCCGCCGTTTATTTGTAGTGCTGTTGGCCACATAACCCAAACACTTTAATAAGGGTTGCACCATCATTTTGACCACATAAAGATTCAATGGGTTTCTTGTTGTACATGGGGAGAAGGTTCTACTTATTATCGACAATCAGGGACATGAAAAATCAATGGTACGACGCATATAGGAAGATATTTATGGCATGTCGGGCCATGCATTCGTGTTCATGGTTCAGGGGTTCAGGGTATAGCAGGCAGCAAGCAGGGATAGGATGATGGCCGAAAGCAGGGATCACATGTCGTACGGGTGACGAACATGAAGCTGTAAACACCGGCGATGTGGATGATTATGGCCGTCAGTACAGCCATACACACGCAGATATACATACATTCGTACATACACACATACACACACACCGCTGTCGCGCGTCGGCTTGGCGCTGTTGGTGCTGGGCCAGGCTTGAGCGCGCCTCCCGAAGTGCGGCCTGCGAGCAGTAATTGGGCAGCCAGCCACTTAGATGCCTGGATAGATGGGTAAATTGGATATCATGGATGGATACGCAAACACGTAGATCGATGAATAGATGGATTGGTGGACAGGCGGGTATGTATGTATGGCAGGTGGCTGGCAGAGGTTAAGGCCTGACTTCTGGTCCCGGAGATCCCGGGCTCAAATCCGCCTGCCGACGCCTCGGTGTGTGAGGGGTGTTGAATTGGGAGGTGGCCCCCCATCTTGTGGACGGTGTAGGACGTGATAATATCAACTTGCGAGCTGACCAGGAACTAAGTTGAAGCGCCGTTGATCCGCTAGATTTGGTTGGATGCTGGTGGTGAGTTGCTGAACCCAACGAATACATTCTGAAGTCGGGTGGGGTGAATGGATTAGGGTGCCCCTCTAGCAGGGAAGAGCAGGGAACTGCCTCGGGAAAGGGGGCCGCTGGTGAAGCTATACCACCCTGTATATACAATATACATAGATCGATTAATAGATGGATTGGTAGACAGGCGGGTATGTATATACTATATGCTAAGTAATGGATACGTAGGTAGAACAATGCAACGTGGGAACCTCAGCACGCAACACCATCACGCAAGATGACAACATAAAGGACTCTCAGCAGCAGCACCATCATCACCAGCAGCAACACACATTACAGACCCATCCACCAACCAACCAACCAACCAACCAACCAACCAACCAACCAACCACCGGGTGGCACCCACCATATGCAAAGGTATCAGCAGCAGCAGCAGTCACTGGCATGCACTCACACGCACACATGCGGTGGATGGGATGAGGGTAGCGGTTCCAGCATCCATCTACGTATACCCGCAGCAGCAAGTGCGCGGTAACAGCAGCAGCAGCAGCAGCAGCTGCAAGACAGGTAGGCGGAAGCGTTTCCAGCCGCCGATTGATTCCCCAAATGGCAAATATGTCATCAATACTATACTACCTGCTGCTGTAGTAGCTGGTAGACAGTACGGCACATATAGCAGCTATAGCTACGCGCTCGAAGCGCTTGATCAGCACGAGCATTATCTCGAGATGGCGGCTTTTTCAGCGGCCAGCTGCTGCAGCTGCTGGCTACCAGTCGACGCACCTGGCTCGCCTCCACCGTCTCCACGTTGACCCGCTCCCGCCGAGCCAACTGAGCCTGAATGTCCGCAACCTAGCTAGTCACCATGCGTTAAGGGTGCATAAAGACGCATGACGCTGTGTGTTACTGCTGTTACTGTTATATAGGTCGCTTGATTCGTAGGTGCAGTAGCTGGCTGGTACATCGTACGGCACACATGACGTCTACAAACACGTGCTAAGGCGCGCCGCCAGCATCTTGAGGGGCCTTTTCAGCAGCGGCCGGATACTACAAAAGGTATGTATGTATGTATGTATGGTCCAGGGTTCTAGGTTTTTTAAGCCTACCTAAAGTAAGGCTTAAACTAACCACTAAAACCGGTATTGGACAGGCGGTGAGTTTAAACACGTAACATATATGCGTGCCAAATGTGTGTGTGTGTGCGTTACGCAACTTTGTCGTTACACCTTTTGGAGGGTAACGCAACCACCCAAGGTGTAACACACACACATACACACACAGAGCTGTATGTTATCCGTGTGCGTCATGATGTGTGCGCATGGGACATACACTTACATACATACACACATATACATACAAACGTCTACACGGCCTCTGTGTTTTCTTTCCATTTCATTTGTCTTTCTCTTTTCATCTTCCGAATACTATGCGGTTATGCCAGGCTACGTGCGGTTTGGCAGCAGTAGCAGAAGCAGTAGCAGCAACAGCAGATTGGCAGTAGCAGTAGTGGAAGCAGTAGCAGATTAGTAATTGCAGTAGCAGGCTTCCAGTAGCAGAAGCAGTAACAGATTCGCAGCAGCAGTATCCGACTAGCTGTAGCAGTACTAGTAGCAGTAGCAGACCTGCAGTCGCACTAAGGGCGCTCTTGAGCTGCCTAATGGCCACAACCCCCCTATCAGTCCAAATTCTGCAGGTACCTACCATAAGGCTGTGGCAGGGTTTACACAGTTTATGAATTACAAGTACGGCATTGGTTTGCAGCATGTACGGCATTGATCTGCGCTAAACAGGCATGCATGTAGGACCATTTGCAATCTTCGTATTCCTAGCTATCGACTGTGACTATATCCTAAGTTCACCAAAGAGAAATTGCCCAACAGACCCAGACCTGCAGGTTCACTGCCTCCAGCTCCGAGCGCGTCCTGTCCACGTCACCCTGTACATTCAAAACATATACATAATACCATACATCACTTTCTTCTCAGCAGTACACGTCAGTTGCCATGGTGTAGTGGAATCACAACTGTCTTACACACAGAAGGTCCCCAGATCGAAACTGGGTAGCAACATTATTACTCTCCGATAGTTAGTGTACACATACAGACAGGCGGCTGGCAGAGGCTCAGCCCTGACTTCTGGTCCCGGAGAATGACCTCAAATCCGCCTGCCGACCTCTCGGTGTGCGAGAGGTCCTGAAATGGGAGGTGGCCCGCCATCTTATGAACTGTAATGGACGTGATAATATTAACTTGCGAGCTGACCAGGAACTAAGATCAGGCGCCGTTCATCCGCTAGATTTGGTTGGATGCTGGTGGTGAGTTGCTGAACCCAACGAATACATTCTGAAGTCGGATGGGGTGAACGGATTAGGGTGGCCCTCTTGCACAGGGGAGAGCAGGGAGCTGCCTCCAAGGGAAAGGGGGCCGCTGGTGAAGCTATACTACCACCCTGTAACAACATCATACATCTGCACATGCACACATAGGCTAAAAGACATGCATGCATCAAAGGAGTCATCACTCGCCCGGCCCTGTGGAAAATTTCGGGTTTGGTTGGGCTGTTGCCTGGCTGTGTTAGTGGCTGTTGTTCTCGAGGTACTGGCTAGGGGGTAGCTAGGTGTGTGGGAGGTGAGCAGGCCAGGTAAGGGGGGCCGGGGAGGAGGTGCACCTGGCTGGGTTAACGAAGCTGACAATCACGCAACCGACACCGAACTCTTGACTAACCATAACCGTGTACACCCTGGAGCGCTGTGGCTGATGATCGATGATAAAGGGTAGAGTATATGTATCCACGACAGCTATCCAACTGCCGTGACAGACATCGCCTCATCATTGCCGCATGCAAGGGGAGCACCGCAATGGCAATGAGAGGACCAGCGGGTGGCATTCTTATCTGCTCAGCATTACAGCTGAGCAGATAAGAAATGTACCGCAAGTTGTGAAGTCGTACACCGTACATGCTTGCCGTACATGAGCCAGATCGTATGTACGTATCGCACATAGTGTGCCCCTTGTCTACAAAGTCCGTCGTCTACATAGCGGAACCCCCAAGCACCCACGTATGTGTCGGTATCGGCCGCTGGCGGCAGCACTTACACATACACATACACACATACACACATATACACACGTACAAAAGGACGGACATACAGACAGACATACAGACGGACATACACGTAAACGCTACCTGGAGGGCCTCCCGGCGAGCCCGGTGCTCGTCTAGCTGAACAGTCAGGGCGGCCATGTCGTACGTTTGCCGAGCGTACGACAGGCGCTGCTCAACCTACAGGCCATGGAATCGATCACCGGATAGAGGCGGCGCATCCTGATCAGGATTTCAGGTGTGCTGCTTAGACCAAGAAAACAGGCAATTTTTAATCATTAGTCAATGCCTGAGACTTATTGCCCAGGGCGCCTAATAACCTATCGTACAACACACACATGTACGAGCTATGATGGATACGTAAGTAGTCCCTCGATGCAACCTGACACAGAAGCAAGCAAAGCAGCAAGCAAAGAAGCAAGCAAAGAAGCAAGCAAAGAAGCAAGTAAGGAGAGGAATATAGATCCCGCACGGCCCCAAACCCAAAGATAAACCCTTAAACCAGGTGAGAGCCTGGAAGCCTAGAAGCCACTTACCTTGGCCAGTGAGGTCTCCAGCAGCTGTATCGGTTCCGTCAGCTCCCGACGATGGCGCTCCGAAACCATGGTGTCGAAGGCGGCGCAGCGGTGCGCCTCGTCCTCCTCGGCTGCCGTACAACGATCATGCTGACGCTTCAAGGAGCGCCGTACCTCCCGAAGGCTGAGCACATGACGTGATGGTGACATGATATATATTACCACGAGTACGATGATGTACGATACTGAACGATGCTTTACGATATGTACCCATGGCTAACCCTGTCAGGTAACCCTCCGCTTAAATTTTCCCTTTCGGCTTGATCCCCTCCGCCCTCCTCCCTTCCCGCCAAGCAATCCCATTTGACCCTCGTCAAGCCGTACACCCGCGCGTCAACCTCGCGCGCCTTGACTGGCTCAGGAGGACACGCAGAACGCAGGACACGCAATTCTGGAAAGTTCGCTAGGCCGTGAAGTCTTTGCGCGTCCTTTTCCAAAAGAACCAAGGCGGGGACGGTGTGCGCGTGTGAGCCTTGCGAGGTCTGTTCCTCTTTTTAGCTCCAAAAAAGGGCAGTTTCCCTCTCGTCCTGTTGACTCGTATTAAAAAGGCGCCCTGCTGGACCTCACCTGAACAGCTTTTCGCCGGATTCGGCCTTCGCTTGCAGCTGTCGCAGCTCGCCTTGGAGCTTTAAGACGCTATGGTGCGCGCGCGCCCGCCGTTCTTGGGCGCGAAGCTCCCGCTGCTCGATGCGCGCCTTTGTTTAATTCGTTTTTATGGCACAGGATTACAGCCCAACAAGGTGGCGAGCGATAGAGCGAACAACAACAACGGAATATGTTTGCTTAATGTTGCAGGAGCGGATTTTGGAGGTGAGGTGATAACAAGCAAGGAAGAGTATGCTGCCCAGCAAAACCAACAGCAAAACCAGGTTCAAACTGATACAATTCATCCCGCGGTGTTCAGCTGCAAGTCGCAACAAGTGCGGTGTGAAAATGGCAATGTGGGCCGATGGAGCTGCAAACGGCTCGCACCTGCTCTGCCTGGCGCTCCCGAAGCTGATCCTGGAGCGCGTTGCGTCGCGCAGCCTGGGTATCGCGCTCTTGCTGCCTACTTTTCAGGAGAGCCTGGTGTGCAAATTGTAGGAACGCAGTCTGTCCTCAGCTGCGGGCTTGCTGTAGGGTGGGTGACCGCGCAAATGAGAAACATGTTCCGGAGATTTGGATAACCGCAAGGAACGGCTATTATTTCCGCGTCTCGCTTCACACCTCGGTTTCGTGAATACGCAGCGACCAAACCAGCAAGGATGAATCCATCAGGCTTGATGGGAAGCGCGATCCTGGAATTGGTGATGTGATCAATATCGGCAGCTGCTGTCCTGGAAGTCCTTTCCCTTGCTCGGGTTAGTTTTTGCATCAAGAAGCAAGGTTTTGGTCATCTGCCAATTTCTCTCTGTGCAACCATCGCAACCCATCGTGTATATGGTTGGTGACACAACATCGTACAGTGTTGCAAGTCATTAAAACTTCGGATTAAAAGCTGGATTGATGTTGTCGCATAAGCCAAGCATGGTCAACCCATGGCTAACAGCGTAAAGCGGATATTTATTGACCAACACAGATTCTGAAAGAGTCTGTGCCGCAGAGATGCTTCCCACAACCATTGTTGTAAACCTACGAGTTACTCCGTGCCTTACGCTATATGGCTGCCTCTGCTCGGAGCGTGATCTGCACGTTATGTTACAAGCAACTAAAGATTGTGTCTTCCCGCCGCCACTTAAAGGAACCAAAGTCCAGTTCCGTAAGTACGACAATTAATTCCAAAGACTTTAGTGGAGAGAGGTCTGACCGGAATAACGTCCAATTCACAACAACCATGCCCAAATAAAAGAACTCTTTATAATTCGAGCATATGGCAAGGAAGCCCCCCAACTTCTGATCCCTGGCGAAGATTTCCTGTGCGTACTATACCTCCAGGTTCGTAGCGCGAACACGGCATCTCTTCCCTATCCCTTTGTGTCCTAGCGGTAGCTGCCGTGCTTGCTCTGCCGAAAGTGCTCATCGGAGAATACATGCCAATGGTCAATGTGTTACAGGCTTATGGAAGTAAAAGACCCAGTAGCACGCCCAGTAGCGCAGCACAGCGAGGCTGTCTTGGACTTTTTCACGTTTCGGTATTCCAAACGGGTACGAAACAAATAAACGTAATGCAAGGTGAACCACCCCGTAACCGCACTAAAATGATTTACCGTCCATGGCCCCCGGCTTTCACGAACATCCCCGCACTTGTGCGGAACTTGTAATGATGCAAGAGTTTTAACACACGGCGAGCATGCTTGACTTCATGAATAAATAAATTACTAATGGTTTACTGAAGGCAAGGGTGCAAAAAACAACCCAGCAGGTACACATACACTTGACATCAGTTGGCAGTTAGCAGTTGGGGGGAGCCGCAACACGTCGTCTACATACGCAGTTCATAGCCGCTGTAGCCACGATCCTGCCGCCGTAACCATACCCCGCCGCTGTAGCAGCTTCCTCAATTTCCACGTGCGCGGCATGCGGATTACCGTAACCTCGACTAAATATTATACATATGTAGACGCACACGCATTGCAGCACGGCGCGTGCACGATATGTTATTAACGTCTTAACATGTACGGAACATTACTTACCCAAGCTTTAAGCTCGAACATGTACTGCTACTTCGTACATTATCCTATTATTGATTCGTCCTCTTGAAAGTTAATGGGGCGATTCACTATACGTACGTCACCCACTCGATACGGGGACGGCAGGGACCGAATCCATCGTCACATCGGCAACTGTCTACCGGCCTCTACCTTGACATTGCATCGACACCCATACATGGAGCATTTAACACATCCGGGCATCGAAGTCAACGTCGAATAATCTATCTGCCCGCATCCTCGCCCAGCTAGTTTCAGTCCTACACATCTACCTACCTACCTACCCACCCAACTTCCAATGCCATCGCCTGCGCAACTGCGGCTCCTTTAGCTGCTCCTTTTACCAGTACAACAGGTAATTCTCCACTTTGGTGTCGTCGTGATGTCAATAACATGTCGTAATATAAGCGGCGCTCTCCTACGGTGGATTTAGCAATACTGGTGGCGGTGGTATTGGTGATATGCGGGCTGGTGGTGATGCTGCAGCAGCAACCCGGGCGCTGCTGAACCACACATGAACAAAGTTTGCCCAACACAGTACGTCTGTCCATCGCGCCAGCCCATCCAGCCCACAGTCCCCACATACGTAATAATGAAGTCGTACGGACGTCAAAACAAACGTCGTTCATCCTACCAGCAATAATACCTACCAGTTTACTCCGTTATGAAAGGAGGTGAAAGGGGGTCTGAGTGGGTGCATCAGCACTGGCAACAGAAATCGCTACAGCTCCGACCCGCACCGCTAAGGTCGGTCGCTCGGGATTGGCACACAACTGAATGGCGGAGAACGCATGGTGAATGGCCCCCGAGCACTTAGCATTAATCGATTTGGTCCCCCCAGCGAGCGCTTCCCGAGGACGTGCGTCTGGAAGCGAGGGCGGCGGCATGAGGCCAGAAAGGCGAAGCTGTCTTACGACGGCTAATGTATGTGTGCATGCGTGTGTGTTACACACCTCCAGGAGTTGCGTTACCCTCCAAAGGTGCAAAAACTGGGGTTCCATACATACCTGGAACCACGAGGGGCATATATGCATAACAGCTTCTGGATGGAAGCAATGATGCTAGAGCTCCGCCCAGCCTGCGCCCGACAGTCCTCCTGCACGAGGGCTATCTCACCACCCCACAGCATCAATCACCATGCACAAAAGGTCCAAAATTATTTCTTCGACGTCCACCTCTTCAGGTCGGTCGGGCTTCGTTCGGCAAAACCGTCGCCAAGTGACGTAACGAGTGAGTCAACCACAATGTAAACAAACAAACGGTTTCAACTAATGAATAAACAATACTATGTGCCGTACGGCCGCCATGGTTTCATCAATGTCAAGGGATCAATGGCTGCAACTATTAGATAGGAAATACGACTCAATAAATTACTATTATATGGAAAACGTAACAGCCGTTAGGTCAGTAGACAATGCCGGAGCGCAATAAGGAACTGTTCTTCTTGTACTTCAAACAGGGATATAGCGGCAGCAGCAGCAGGTGCGCTGGATTCACGCCTTGCCTTTGCCAGAGTTCTCCAAGCAGTGAGCGACAGACAGACAGACAGACAGACAGACAGACAGACAGACACACGCCGCCCTGAAGGCAGTGTCCTAACGAAAGTAGTCCCGGCACCGCACCAAAAGGATCCCCCCGCACAGCGGCCGCCCTGTGATCCATTCTGCTGCCATTTACCCGGCTGAAGCACGTGCAGCCCTTCCGTTAACTGTTTGCTTCACAACGACACTTTCAGTTAATACACACATACGTACACACGGACGTTAAGTGTCAGGAACGGACCATACGAAACCAAATTACTAATGAAGTCGAACGGAGCACCGCATCATTGACAGGCCATCAAAGCTGGCCCCCAATGGGGCGGTATTACTTATGCAGCCCGACCAAGAACGGCAGGTGCAGCTTCAGCAGCATTATAAGCAATGGCGAAACAGCAGCAGCAGCAGCAGTAACAACAGCCGCAGCAATACGACATGTACGGAAATATGAATTTCCTTCTTCCACGACAGGCAAGCATACAGCAAAGTTCGGGGAAAAGTTAATCGTCCGAGCCAGCAGTTCATTAACCCTTGTTGCGTTCTGCACTCTCAAACCGCTTCATAATAGTCAGAAATATGTGAATGTCAGAAATATGTGAATAATGCCATGCTAGGGAGTGGTGCTTAAGGGCCAACCGGGGAACGGAGCTCATGCAATGGAGGCCGCTTTTGCTGCTTCATAAGCGGTTCACCATCCAGCTGCTTTTGCGGTTACTAGCGCAATTGCATTGCTTGGAAGCCGCACAAACCGCCTGTGCCGTACACGCGACCCGTACAAAAGGAGGCCCATACCGACAACGGAACTTGTGGGCGCATGCATGTAACGCGGCTGCGTACCTGGCTTTCTCCTCTTCCCCCTCCTCCTCTCTCCAACTAGGCTCACTCCTCCTCTTCCCGACAAGCATGGAAAGATGGATCAAACTAGCAGCCCCTAGCGCAGCAAGGCAGCCGGCCACCGATGGATTCACACTTTAGTTTCCGGTGCTCCGGTGCTGCGTGAGAACAGTAATAACAAAAATACACCCCCTGTGTCGTGAATGCAGACAAAAGCGAGTTCCGTTTCTGCCGCAGGTTTTGTCATTAAAAAAAATGGAGACGCCGAAGGCCCCTGATTAGGTGGCGAGGCAGTGCTGCTTTGCATGTAACTGCTATCCTAGAGTATCGCAGAGATAGCCACAAGGGCTTCTTATGAGGCTGCATGCGTGCGCACAGCCCCTTTAATCCCAATTCCATCTGTTCACTTGGCCAGCAATTTCCCGGAGCGTCGCCGATAGTTTCCTGGCTGCGGCAGCGACTCGCTGGTGACCTGAACCCCACGCCGCGCCAGCTCGTGCCGGAAAGCCTGGGCACCCTCCTCCCCGTCCGCAAAAATACTGATGACCACTGCCAACTTGTCGATAGAGGACTGCCCGCCGTTTATAAGTTTTACATAGCTATCGTCGCAGTCGCTGATGAGCCGTGTGTGGCTGGCTAGGTCGATTTCTGGCGCACTGCACAGCAGTTGTGTGCGGCTGCCACTGTTCGTGTAGCGCCCGGAAAGCATGCTTCGAAAAGAGCGAAATGACGATGAGGCAGACTTCACAGAGGAGAAAGACTGCAATGACGTGGTAATGACATTAGACGAGCTGGAGAGGTTTGAGGAGGAGTTACCAATGATGCTGGCCCGTTGGTTAGATTGTGAGTTGTCGGGGGGCTGGCCTCCACCACCACCACCACCTCCTCCTCCTCCTCCTCCATTGTCACAAATCAATCCACCACCAGCATCATTACCACTGCCACTGCATTGCGTCCAAGCCATAAGCTTGCTGCTATTGCCGGAGCCACCGCTACTGCTGCCTGAACCACAGCCACTGCGGCTGCTACCACCGCCGATACTGCCACTACGAGTCCTTGCAAGGCCGCCAGAAGTGGTTCGTGTGAGGCCAGTTGGCATGAGGGGTTTCTGGTGGCTGTTGCTGCTGCTACTACTGTTGTTGTTATTGTTGCTACTGCTGCTACTGTTGCTGTTGTTGTTGTTGCTACTGCTGCTATTATTGCTGTTGTTGTTAATGTTGCTGCTACTATTGCAGCAAGCGCCATGGTTGCTTTCGACGCCTCGGAGGAAGGCAGGCTCGTCGTCATCGTCCCCTTCGTCGTCCCGCAGGTTTCTAAGCCCCCCCTCCACTTCGAAGTATAAGCGGTGTCCAAGCGCCAGGACTGCGTCAGCCTGCGTGGCGGATTTTCCGAGGACTTTTATCCATGCAATACCGGGCTTTGACCCACGAAACAGGCAACAGGTAGACCGATGCATATATCAGCAGCATGCGCACAAACCTAAAATTTGGACATCTAGATTATGCACAGTTCTTGAAAAATGTTTGGCATGCTTCGCACGGCTAGGAAATGCCCAAGTAGCTAGCCCTTTGTTCGCGCTGGAACGCAGAGCGAGGAGGTAGAGCTAAGTAGTTAGGTAGGAACCAGCGATTACAGGAGCTTTGAGTTTGCGATATCTACACGATTTTATATCATCTGGACCAGACGACTCACCGCCTGCGAAAACACAGCCGGGATGTGAGCCAACACCACATTCGTGCCCCGTGGCACTAATGCAATCGGAACGCTGCGCAAAATCAAGGGATTACAACAGTATCCTTAACGCGAATAATGAATGATAATCTAGCCATTTAAGAGACTTCATATCTTTTCACCAAGGCCGGTGACAAAGACGAAAAGGCATTTAGCTTGTTTCACGCCTATCAGTAGCACAGGCTTGGTAAGCAGAAGGCATTCGTACATAAGAGTCATAACTTACTGATCCTTTCCCAAGAAAGACCTCCTCAGGAACCGGTAGCATTCTAGCCCAGTCAAGGCTGCTACTTCAAGAGCAGCATTAAAGTTGTTGCGAGGATACATGTCTCGTTGAGCTCTTACTCCTCTAGCGTGGACTAGCTGTGAAAACGCTTCTGAACGTGGCAAACCATCAGTCGGAAGCCCCAAGGGAAAAGCACCCCTTTGGAGCTCAGCCCCTGCTTCAAGGACTTGGTTTGAGCCTGTTTCTATCATGGATTCGGAAGCGACCATATAAAGCGATGCTGCGAAACGAGGACCCTGCTATGTTTTGCACCAGACGCTCTGCTTAGGTTCAGGTTACAAAACAGCCACCACTACGTGACTTTTACAAATACATATTAAGCGCTAGCCAGCCACCACTGGGGAAGAGAATCCTTTCCGTACAAAAGTGAGCTGGATTCATCGCACCGTCCTAAATGAGCTCCAAGACAGTGCCACAGTAAGCCGCATTGTGATATTACCTTTATATTTATTCAAAAGCAAAGCTACCAGACTACCAGCTAACAGCACAGAAAGTCAGAAAGGTACAGTCGTGTACGGTTTACGGGATCGCCACGAATTGCAGGTGAGTTTGACTCGTATGGGAACAGCTCGTGAATAGAACTGAATATCCAGTCAAGTTCCGGCTTAATAATGAAAACCATTGTTACATTATGGGCAGGACGAAGGAATGTCTTCCTAAACGTTAGTCTACGATGCTCGTGCCCGCTGTTGGCCGCTTCAGGGAAAGAGAGGGCATGCGAGGTGGTGAGATTGCTCAATGAAACATGGAAGTCACGCACATGAAAAGTCTCCAACGAACTCCAAGGACCTCCCTAACAAAGAACATGCTCCGGTGGGCAAGCTTGCTTGGTTGGATCTTGAATGCCGCCGTGCGCACACGCGTGCACCGCCATGCATGCATGCGCGCACATGCATAGCAGCGGGTTGTATGTATCTTGGACGTAAGTATTCCCCTGCGAGTTAATGTTGCTTGGAAACACCAACAACAGAGTGGCTGATACACAACTTGCAAGTTGGGAGGCGAGTCGATCACGAACTTGTCAGACCTTATGGAGGGCTACAAGCGAACCAATGCGAGCTTGCGTAAGTAAGCTGGGTTAGTTGGACGTAAGGCCCCATGCGTAACTGTTAGACTAACTGTTTCGCAACGGCCCGTGTCCTCAGGGCCGCCATTTATTGCGCGCATTAAGCTGGTTAGCTTATCGTGTTTTTGTTGTTCAGCGCGCGCCCGCCCGCCCGCCCGCCCGCCCGTTTATGGCGCAGCCCGTGTTAGTTCAGTTGCGGTGTCTCTTTCTCCGTTCGTAGGGCCCGTCTTCTTCGGGCCTCTCAGTCCTTTTCTCTCTTTCATTACTTGTAACAGAAAATGGCATTTACCTATGGAGCAACAACTAATCTCTACCAATCTAGGCGGCGGCCTCCGTCTATGGCCCTCCCCATACCCCTCAACACATCGACATTCGCAGTCAGTTGTCAGTCAGCCGTCGAACACCGACTTCTAACGAATCGAACTCACATCTCGTGTGCCACGCCTATGGGTTTCGTACCGATTGTGCTATGCATCGGTCTTCAACGAATATGTACATGCACACAACATGAATTGTGGTGGTACCAGAATTTCAAATAAGTCAATCAGCAGCAGCAGTTGTGCGTCTAGCTAGCTATGTTATTGTGGGGTAGCGAGGGTTGGGAAAAAGCTGTAACTAAAAACGGTAACGGACGGTTGGCGACGTACGCAAGGTGACAAATAGGCCGTATGTTTGTTTTCTGTTGTGATAAGAGCTGGCAACAACTACCCTTTAAGTTGGGGAAGGTATCATTTCCCGTGCCCTCCGGTCCACTGGTGGAAAGCTCTACTTTGGTGTGCTGCACAATCTATGCTTGCAGGAGCTCGCTGGTGCGTGTTTCGTGCACGTTGAGTATCGTGCATGGTCTGCTGCGTGCATGTTTCCAGGAATGTAGGGCTTGCAGCAATTTGTGATGAAGTTTGTTTACAAGTGCTTGCACGGTGCGAGAGTTTGTGTGCTGTTTGCATCATTCTGTAGCACGCACGATTCTTACCGTAACAACTACACACACCCTCACTCGCCTGGGCTTGCGTATTGCTTAAACGTCATCGCGTGATCCGTACTCACTACTAACTTATTGTGGGGAAGGCCATTGCGTCTGCGACCACACTCCCGCGGGTACCCAAACCCTTCAAAGACAACTCCGATCAGCCCTTTGGCTGTTAGTGGGAGGGCGGGTGGGCCGCTCGCACGGCAATCGAGTAGAGAGTACGAAATAACCTAATGAGTCATCGCCAACAGAAAACGTAAGCCTCCAGCCTCACGCCGACTGCCTTCTACCTACCATTCATATTTCCTACCTCGTTAACAGGTCTCCGCCACATTGCCTCTAGTTCGGCTCGTCCCTCAGGTAACTGCGCTTGTCGTTACTTTGCCATTCTCCTTCGCCTCCACCACGCCTCTGCTTCTCCACAGAAGCGGCGTTCTCCTTCGCCGCTGGTACGCCTCCTCTATGCGACTCCTCCTCATCCGACTGGGTCCTCTGCCTACCCGGTGCACGCCCCCATCTCTCTGTGCATCCGTTCCTCTGGCCCTCTCTTACGGCTGCCTACCTGACTGCAGGACTCACCCCTTGCCTGTCCGGTGCCGGGTAGGCTTTCCTTGCCTCCCCCGGCCCTACTTGGGGCGCCTCTCCTTGGCTCGCCATCTTCCTTACTTCCGTCCGTTCCTGTCCCTCGGGGGCCCTACCCCCTCGCCCCCTCCGTGGGCCCGATCCCCGCTCTGGACTTGTCTCACACCCCCGGCCTCTCTGATGCTGCCCACCCGGTAGGCTTGCCCCCGCGCCTGGGTCCTGTCTCCTCTTCCCGTCATGCCTACCTCACCTACCTTCTTCTGCCATCCAGGCACTGCCAGAGCCTACTCTGCCCCAGATCTTGGCCGTGCGCGTCCACCCCACTTCCGTACCCTCTGCTGTACTGGACCCACCTTCCAGCCGTCAGCTTTATACCGTCGCCCTCGCGAAGGCCGCCACCGTCTGCGACAACTCGTTGGCTCGTGAAACCATTGCCCGTCAGGAGGCTGCCGGTTGTGACCTCTCTGCATGGCTGGCCTCCCTGCCCCATGGCCGTACCCTGCTGTCCTGCACTGATGACGACCTGCTCGTCTACCTGGAGGCGCACTGGCTCCCCAATCGTCGTGTGGACGACCCGAGTCCCAACACCGTCAACAATCATCTGGGTCTGCTCTCCGGACTGTTTAACCACTTGGGCCGTGGCAGCACTTACGACCGTGTAACCGGCATCGGCAACCCCTGCTGCTCCAGCGCCTTGTCCTCCTACAAGACTGGCTATAGTCGCCTCGCAGCCGACCGTGGCTATGAGGAGCAAGCCGCCGTACCACTTAGCCCTAGCGATTTCACCACCCTCATGGATCAGCTCTGGTCCGGATTCCAGGCTTCCACCACCTCCCTAGCCCGGCTGCTGTTACTACGCGACCTGTTGTGCTGCCAATTCATGTGGCACACCAGCTACCGCGGCCATGACACAGGCAAACTGCGGCTACGTGACTTCCGTGACCCGCGTGGTGGGGGTCCCTTCCGTGGGTTTCCCCTGCCTCTACCGGACCCGTTCGGTGCCTACCCCTCCCTTTCCTTATGGATTGAGCAACTCGGGACCAAAACATCCAAGGGGCACCGAGCTCCCCCTTTGGAACTGCGCCCCGACCCCTCTCCGCGACATTGCTTCATCCGCACCCTCGCCCTCTATTGGCAGCTGTGCCATGCTCCCGACGCCCCCCCAGGGTCTGCAATCTCCGACTACCTCTTCCGTCCCACTGACCGGGGTCACCAACACTTCGTGGAGCGTCCATTTTCCAGCAGCACGTTAGCCATGCGAGTGGGCAAACACCTGGAGGAGGCTGGTGTCTACGTCGGGCAAACCCCTCATGGGTTTCGTCGTGGTACTATCCAGGCCACGCAGGCCGCTGGCGCCTCCCGCGCGGAGCTCCACACGTTCTCCCAGATCCGCAGCGCGCAAGTCCTGGAGCGTTACACGGACACCTCTCGGCCCACTCGTGTCCCTCGCGGCTCCGGTCCCAAATCCTAGCCTCCGCCTCCTGCTGGTGCCGCCCCTCTTAGCCCTGGCGCTCACTTCGTGGCTCGTCCTCCTCCCCTCTCCCCACCACATCGACGGGCGGGTGGGCAGGTTCTGACTTGCGCTTGCTTGCACGGTTGACTGGCGAACTTGCGTTGTCTGGATTCAACGCTTTGTTCCCAGCTAATCTTTGTAACGAACTACCGTATCAGTCCCTGTCCTCTGGCCAATCCTGGTCTGCACCTTCCCGTGCCGCACCTGCCGTACTGCACTACAGGACGAGCACTTAATCAACATGCATTGCTTAAACGTCATCGCGTGATCCGTACTCACTACTAACTTATTGTGGGGAAGGCCATTGCGTCTGCGACCACACTCCCGCGGTACCCAAACCCTTCAAAGACAACTCCGATCAGCCCCAACACACACCGCAGAGCGGTCTCTCCCCCCCCACATACTTCCCAGGTGTTGACCCTAGGTCCTCCCGTCCCCCAGCTCTTCCGTTCCTTGCCTCTACAATAGCACATACACAGCCTGTACCCGGTATCGGGGTGTCATAGGGCCCCTTTTTGCGGCGTTGGGCACTTGTGGTCCAGGGATGAAGAGCTCCCTGTGGACCAGGGTCACCTGTGCTCTGATGGGCAGCGTCCTTAGGATAGCCACCCATGCGCGTGGCCAGACCGGGAGGATCAGTACACAATCGGGCCGCTCCTCCGCCACCTTGCGCAGCACTCTTGCCACGGCACTGAACGGGGGATTAATGTACAGCAGGGGCCGAACAGTTTCACCTCCTTCCAGGCGTCCCCACCCCGGAGAGCCCCAATCCTGGGCGAAAGCGTCTACTCCTTTGACTCCCGGGCACCAGTTTGCCGCAAAGAAACTACCTGGCACCTTCGTGGTGTGTGCGTCCGCGAAAACGTCCAGGGACGGGCTGCGGCCGTGAACACAGGGGTGCTCCCACAGCTTTGCGTAGACGGTCGTGTTCAGCATCCACTGTGATCCATCTTCGTATTTGCTGAGCGCGTCTGCCTGCTGCTGCTGTTCCCGGCTGCGTGGGTACCACACCACTGAAATGTCTGTGTCCGTATCCGTGCAGAGGCGATGGATCTCCGCCACTATGGGCAGGCAAGCG